TAACTTGATCTAAATTCCTTGAATTAAAATATATTAAAAAATATAATAATTTTATATTTATTTATATAAAAATATTAGAGACGAAATTTTTGACGAAACCACAATTTTTCAAAAAAGAGTTTAGGAAGGTATCACTAGTCATAATCATAGTATTTCAATAAAGAAGAAGATTTTAATTTTGAGAGAAAAAAAATGATATCTCTATTCTAAGCTATCTGATAATCAACTATTATAAAATATTATTATTTTAATATTATATATATATGATCAAATAAAGAATAATAATTTTCAGCTTTGATCTTAATAAAAAAGATTATATTATCTAAATAAATGCCAATCTCAATTAACATTTTTTCAAGTTTTTTTGATATTCTTACATTAGTTAGTGCCAATATAATTTGATATTTTTAAAAGAAGGTATTAAGCTTTAATCTATTCAAGAAAGGTTATTATAAGTTTCTCATTAAGTATTTTTTTTAGCTATCTGAATACATCTAGTCTGAAATTTATCAATATTATATCTTATTTTTGCTATTTTAGCATTAAGTTTATTAATTTCAACTAAATCATTTGCTATATTATCTTCAACTCATTAATTTTAACTTTAAGCTTATTTTTCAACTCCATTTTCTTATTCTCAATCTTAGTAAACTTCTTCCTAAGTTCAGCAATCTCAGCTAATAGCTTGATATTTAATTCTTTTAATAAATTAATAGATTAAGTATTTAATATGATTAATAATACCTATTTTACATTAGATATAAATATTTAAAATTATATTAAACAATAAGGTGTAAAATTTATTTAAAATATATAATCTTACTTTTTTTTCACTATACACTTTCATAAGAAACAGATCTTTTTAATATACTGTAATAGACTTTATAAATTTGAAAACTAGCCTATTATCTATAATAACTATCTTGTTTATTTTTTCTTCTTAAATTCTACCTTCATATTACTTAATAATACTATGATAAAATCTTGTATAATTTTTCTTTCTCAAAGTTGTACTTCTTTGAACCTATTGACTTTTCATTACCAGCTTTTTTCTTTGCTTAATTTATACTTTATTAATCTTACAATAACCTTCTAATATTTACTTTATGATTTTCCTCTGAATCTTTTTCAAGGTAGGCTTAATGATCAGATATTCAGATATTTTTTTCAGCAAATATCAAGGATTAAAAAAGATGTATATTTACTTAGAATTCAGTTCATCTAATTATTATGTATGAAGCATTTATGTTATTTTTTTAAAAATTTAATTGAGCGATAGAATAACATACCTTGTTTTTATTTTATAGGGAATACTCAATCATTCAGTTGGTTGAGATGATGAAATAATCATTGTTTGTATCAAATATTAATAGCACTTTCTAATAAGGATAACAAGAGATAATATTGAATTAACAAAAATATCCTTTTCTTTTAAATTTTTTTTTAGGTTCAAATAAAAACACTTCTTTTGAATAAAGATCTATTACTATTTTAAGAATTATTAAAATCTTGATCATCTAATATAGTAGAAAAGTTTTCTTCTCAAATAGACAATATGGAGGCTATAATTTCAGATTACTTATTACGACTACAATTGAAAAATAGCCAGTTCAACTACTCATGAATGTGGTTTAAGTTGGTAAGGAATTGCTATGTATCTTCTCCTTATGGGAATCATTAAACATTCATTCATTGAGTGTTCATGCAATTATTGGATACCCATCCTTAGTGGCCACAATCAATAATATTCAGTTGTATAATTATCCTCATTTAATTAAAATAAAATTGTGTTGGTATTCATAAATAAATGTATTTTGCCGATTTAGCAAAATTTTTTTTAAAGTCAAAACTGCGAAAGCTTCGATAGTTGACAAAATGTTTTGAAATGTAGTAAATTCATCAAAACTTTGATAAAGATTTCAATTATCAAAATAGGATTCCTTTTGGGTACATTTTAATACAACTTTTTGTTTTTTTACCGGAAATCTTTTATGTGAAAATTTTGAAGGTTTAAAATAAAGAACTAAAAATATTTATATATAAGTGATTAGGCTATTAATTATTAAAATCATGTTACGGATAGATCAACCATATATTTCCATAATTAGTGTTTATCATGAAGATCTTTGAATCCCACAATTTCATATTTTTCACTTTTATAATATAAATAAGAATAGAATTCATTTGTTTGTTGCATTCACTCTTGCGAGTGTTTAGACACTCTCTTGTGGAGGAAGATGATGGCTTATAGGCTGACAAAGATTTTTAACAAGGTAAACTGCGCTCCCTGTTTACCAAAGTTTTAATGAAACGGTTTATAAGATTGTTAGCATAGCGAGGCTCAAGGAATAGTCGCTTAAAGGAATTTGCTTCCCTAGACATGGAATGCGAGTGTGTCACTCCCTGCTAACTTTTACATATTTTCCTTTTCTTTATAATAGATTAACCTTGATAGGATCGATTTTTACCATTTTCATAAGAGGTAATCCTATATATATTATAGCGGGTGGTGTGAAAAGGGGAACAAATAAAAAATTTTTACTATGTAAATATTATCATATCAATACGTATGAAATTTCGATTTTGCTCTTTTTTTCATCTTCTTCTCTCATCATCACTTCCTTCGAAAATAAAATTAATTTTTTTTTCGGATTTTGGTTCAATAAAATCGTGATTTAAATGCCACAAATGCAATTTCTGGTAACGGTCGAGGCTTTAAAAAAATTACATTATTAGCATTATTTAAAATTTGATTAAAAGGTGAAAGTAATATATTTGAACAAACTTACTCCATTAGCCACACCAAACGTTCTATACATATTATTGTGTATAGCTAATGCTTCTGACGCTTGGAATCAAAAGCATCGAGATGGAACATTGTATTTTTTTCGCAAGACTGATATATGCTTTTCTGCTTTCGACATCAATATTGGTATGATCTAATTAACAAAATCATAATTAAAATAAATATAGACAGACATATTGCAAAGCGTGTAGGTAAGATTTGTACCTATTACAACTGGCTTTTTTTAGAGTCTCTTCGCAAGTTTTAATACACTTTGCTTTTGTCAGTATCCTAAATTTGTTTGTTATCCAGCAAGATTAAAATCTCCAATCAAAAATATACGTAACTCGTGCCCGTGATCGGTAAATTATCACGTTTATTGGGATGTCCATGATTTTTATTAAGACACGTGATGATGGCTACGTTAAGAAAGCGCAGAAAATAATCACTCAATAAACTTGACACGCTCGTAATAATTGTCCAGGATTTTTTACTAGAGACTCTTGTCAGACTCTGCTAGATTATTCACATTTGGCACGAAGCAATTGGCACGAAGCAATTCAGCTTGAACTTCGAAAAAGGTGGGGTAAGTCTCGCATCCTAACTCTTAAAATTTATTATTAAAAAGTATTATGTAATAATTCTATATAATAAATCCAATAAAAATTAAAATATTATATTCTTAATTCAGGCAATTGTAAGAATATTTAGGCAATTGAAAGGGATAAAAGGGGGAAAAAAGTGTGTAATTTATATAACTATAAACATTTGAAGTAGGAATGTTATTTTATAATAAATTAAAAAACGAAAGTATAAAAAGTTGATTTCTTTTTTTTTATAAATAATATTTTATATATCATTATTGAAATTATCAATTTATTAAAATTATTTTTGGTGATTCTAGTAAAGATATAGCGATTTTATAATAATAAAATAAAGGGAGGAGTAATACATCACGTGATTATGCAAATATAAAAATGATCATATAGTATTGGTCTTTTTTTAAATTAAAATCCTTCGATAACTTAATGAAGCTGTCCTAAAAAACTATGCGTTTAAGGCTATCTAACCTATGGGATCGTATGAAGGTCTAAACGACCGACCGAACAAGAATAAAGCAATAGATAATAAAAAGTTAACCACAAAAGAGCCGGTAGCAAGAAAATAACTATTATCAAATCTAATTCCATAGAGGAATCGCTGTGAAGTATTATAAAGATGTGATATTAATGCGATTGAAGATATCTGAAGAAGAGCTGTAAAAAAGGAAACAAATATATTTAGTAAAAATATTTAAATTTTCATCTTAAATAATAATAATAATAATACTTACAATGAAAGAAAATCAAACCAACAAAAACTTTCCAAGCATGTAGATGATGAGAACCACCGCTTAATAACACAATAATACAATAAATTAAAGTAAGACCACCAATCACGGCGGCAATTATCATAATATCTCTAGCTGCAATCCATGCTTCACAAAATCCTCTTTCTTCACAATCACCATAATCTAATGAAGGAAACTCTCTACATTTCACATCATTTAAGGTTGAACATTTCTTTTAAAGCAAGAAAACAATGAGATATATAAATTGAAAACTAGGAATAATCTTATTTAAACAGTAAAATTGTATTTTTTTTTTTTATACCTGAAACAGGCCATAGTTCGTTATAGTTTTATATGGTCTTGGGCTTTCGAAACGTAACCTTGATAAAAACAATATATTATATTAATTAAAAGAACTTTTAAAATAAAATCGTTCTTTTGTATTTATGTTTCATTCGAATTTAATCTATGGTTGTAAACTTTAACTTACCACTCTGGCATAAATAAAGAAATCAAGCTACAACTATAAGTTATAGTGAAAGTCAAGGAAGTCGCAATATAAGTGCACAATGTAGGCATTTTAATATATTTTTACAAAATAGAAAAAATCAAAAAACAGAAAGAAACCAAAATTGTATGATCATAATAAATATACGTCATTTCTTTTTTGCAAATACTCAAACATCGTATTATTATTATAATTGGGTATGATGGCACGTTATCTCCTTTGATCACCAGAAGATCCTTTTTTTTTTTTAGGTAATGTATCAACGATCAAGATTTAAAGAATATTACAGCTAGTAATTTCGCGTATAGAATGATTTGCAGGCAAAACCATTGAAGGATTAAATTAAATATACGATGGTTTACTCGAATCCCATTTCTTTTTTAAAAGTACTAGATATTCTCGTTGATATGGAAGCTGGGACGGGGAAAAAAAATCAAATCCTTTGAAAATAGTTTATGTTACATCCTCACCTTTTTTTCGACTAAAAAAGTTTATCAAGGACTTTTTTACTCTTACACAAGAAAACGAAAGTCAAATCTTTTGTTTACGCAGAAGCTGATAAATGGCAATAAATGAAAATTTTGAACGAAAGGAAGATATAAAAAAGTAAATTGGTTAATTTCATCATTATAAACATGTCTCCATGTAATTCACACTTAATGCAACAGATTTTTTTTATTTCGTAACTGAAACCTGTATAACTTCGTTTTGCTTTGATTATGCATAATATTATTTAAATAATGGCAAATGCATGGTATACATTAAAATTCCAAATATATTTTATTAGTTATATTGATCAAAGATGGATTAGTGGGCATCCTTTGTGGATAAAAACGGCAACTTTAAATACCATCAAAAGATGAGACGATGAATAATCAAAACAAAAGATAGGCTTAAATGAATTCCCGGAAATGGAAATTTTGCATACGAGTTCAAATATAATTTTTCGAATGATGAAACATTAGATGCAATAAATTATTAGACGTGCTTCATAAACCTTTGCTAACATCTGAAATCACACTTCTGAACGCTTTAAATGTTTGACGGGAGTGGCCAATCTTCTTGAAGAACGTCATTCTTTATTATTTGTAAAGAAAAATAAATAAATAATATTTACCATTTGAAATTTAAAGAATGATGAAATCTAAAAGATTATTGGTTAAAATGAAAGAATGAAATTAACTCATCGCATATTTTTCTCATTGTACGCCTTCTGGCAAACAATTTTACGTAACATTACGCAATATCTATAATTTTAAAAGATAGATTATAAGTTACGTTATATCTTGTGCTTCAAATTCCGGATAGATTGTTCTATTTTTTTGGTTATATTATTAAATTTTTTATAAAAAGGTATGGAATTTTTCTTTCTGTTCAAAGGTCAACAAAATTCGTTGATTATTTTAAATTAACTATTTCAATTATGGGTAAGTTTGATTGTGTAAATCATTATCGTTATGACCTCAAATGACATTACGGCTGATTTTCCTTATTTATTTACAGTTTGGCCCAAAGGCATGCCGATTTTAAAGAACTTTGGCATTTTAGGAAATTCGTTAAAAATACAAATTAAAGACATGCCAATTCTTCAACGTTCAAAGCCAAAGCCAAATGTGGTAGTTTTACCGAATTATCATCTTCCAATCCATGAAGACCCAAATATAATAAAAGCTCATGTTCCTGATCTTATAAGATCATATGAACAACTTCCAAATGGACTAAAGGATATATTGGCAAACAATCGAAAATGGGCAAATACAGAACAATTGCATCGTATAAAGTTCTTTGAGAACTTATCAAAAGGACAAAGTCCTAAATTGTTTTGGATCGGCAAGTTGTTTATTATTTAAAAATTTTTGATAAAATGATCATCTAATCTTTTCAAATTGAGATCAAATCTTTTTCTCTTCTTTTTTAGGTTGTTCGGATTCTCGAGTTGTCCCGGAAACGATCACTCAATTAGGTTTTGGTCAAATATTTGTACACAGGAATGTTGCGAATCAATTCAATTCCAATGACTTGAATTGTATGTCGGAATTGGAATTTGCTGTGCATAACATCAAAGTTGAACATATAATTGTATGTGGTAAGTCGAGACAATTAATTTTACCGTCCATCAAAAAAAAAAAAATTTATATTTAAATTTCGATCTTCGGCTTTTTAGGTCACACAAATTGTGCAGGCGTAATGAATGCTTGTAATGATGAACTTCACATCAATTTAAAAACCTGGTTGACCGATATCCGAAAAATAAAAGATGAATATCCAGAATTATTTCCTAATCACGAGATCAAAGGCAAGTTGCCCCAAAGCGAAATAGATAGACTGCATAAAAGGTTAATTAAGATTAATGTATCAAAACAAGTAAACAAAATTGCTTCAAATGAAGTTGTTCAAGAGGCTTGGAAAGATGAGAAAAGAAAATTAGCAATTCACGGTTGGGTCTTCAATGTAGAGAATGGACATTTAGAAGATGTAGGAGTAACGGTTGGAAAGCATTAAATGATAATGTAATTAAAATTGTATCAGGTAATTATTACGATTCATAAGATTCGATCATGTTAAAATATTTCGTTTTTACATTCAATGAACAGGGTTATATTCCTGTACTATATTATATTCTGCCGATTTAAGCATATACTTTTGAATGAAATATTGGGTGATGATAAGGAGGCATTAGTTAAATCAATATATATATATAGATTTTGTTTTTAGAATATAATAATTAAAAATAAATTTTTTTTTATATATCATCCAGTGGTTCAAGTTGTTCAAGTTTGGATCTTTAAGAACATTTTTATTTATAATAAATAAAAAATAAATTACTTATCGAATTCGTAATGTAAATATTTTATTTTAATTTTTTTAAACAAATTATATTTAAATTTAATTTTTTACTTAAATCGTAAAAATAAAGTATTTTAAAAATTACATTTTTTGTAAAAAATGTAAAAAATATAAAGAAAAATAATAAAAATATTAATAAAATTTTTATTTTTTTATTTTGCTTTTTTTATTAATAATAAATAATAAATTATTTAAATATAATGATCGAGATACTGTATAGTATTTTAATATAATAGTTATTATTATATTATTATATATGTTATAGATTTATATATTATATAAAAAAATTATATAAGAAGTAAAAAGTAATGGTTATAGCAACAAATAATAAATTATATATGTAATTAAATCTAAATTTTTTTAAAATTTTTTTTAATTAAAATACTTTTTAGATAAATTTAATTTAAATTTATAAAAAAGTAATTATATTATATATATTATTTTTTATAATATAAAAAAGCAAAATTCTTATAAAAAGAATATTAAATTACTAATTATTTATTTGAAATTTATCTAATTTCTATTGTAAAATAAATTAATAACTTACAAATTCTTTTGCTTTTCTATAAAATACATTATTATCATCTTCTATCCAGTTAAAAAGATTAAGCTTTTATTATAGATCAATAATCATTGAAATGTAATGTACTAATTTAAAAGTTTTATTATAATATTCTCACTAAGCTTAGTTTTTATCATCTTTGCAATTACAACTAAAGTTTTTGAAAATTCTCTATTATTCATTATCTTTTAATATAATCTATTAAATAGAATAAATTAAACTTATAGTAGGATAAGTCAATACTTATATTTCAATTGAAATTCTTTTAAAAAAAATATAATTTTCTTAAAAGTTTTCCAATTTAATTAAGTTAAGTAATATCTTTGATAGATGAAAATCTATTAATTAAAATGATTTTATTAAAATAATTATAATTAATTACATATAATACATATAAATTTTTAATAATTTAAATTAACTAAAATATTAATCAACATTAAATCTAAAGTGCATTTAATTATTAATTGATTTATTAAACAAATTATACATATAATATTATTACTAAACAAATAAGACATTCATTTTTAGGTAAGAGGTTGAGTTGTTATATTACAAACTTTAAGTTGATTGATAAAATATTCTTAATCACTGCTGCCACCTATTATTAAAGATTATAAATTTATTATAATCTTTCAAGCTGAATTGCATGATGATTTATTTAAGTATGAAGACTTAATAAATTGTGATAGAGTTAACACAAGTGGATTATACAAACATTATGTATAGAATTCTGCAATTCGATTTGATATTTGAATATTTAATTTAAAAATCAAATCAAATACAAATTCAAATTTATATTTAATTTGATTTGATCAAATTCAAATTAAAAAACAATTTATTTAATTAAATCCAAATTAATGTTTGATTCGATTTGATCAAATTCAAATCAAATATTCAAATATTTGATTTGATTCGAATTAATAGTAAGCCATCTTTAAAGCTTTAGGAATAGTTTTTACTAAGAAAACTATAGCAAAAAGCATTTTTACAACTTACAAAATATTTTTTTTACTAAAAAATCATAGCAAAAAGTATTTTTACAGCTTCAAAAATGCTTTTTTATTAAGAAAAACATAGTAAAAATACTTTTGTGACTTTAAAGACATTATTGTACTAAGAAAACATAGTAAAAACACCTTTATAGCTTCAAAGATATTTTTACTAATAAATATAGTAAAAAATATGTCTGCAGCTTTGGAAACATTTTTTTACTAATAAAATGGTTACAAAGTTGAGATAGCAGTTATTATTAAGTTTTCTTAAGTTTTCTTAGTAAAACTGAGGCTGCAGAGTTGTTTTATTGTGTTTAATAGTAAAAATTCGCCTGTTACTAAACTTACTTTGTAAAAGTTATCTTTGAAATTTTTAGTGTAATTACTAATAATTTTCTTAATTAAACCTTAGAATAACTTTATTTTAATATATCATTATAAAAAAATTAAAAAATTTTATATTTGATTTGATTCAATTCAATTCAATTCAATTAAATATTTAATTTAATTTGATTCAATTTGATCAAATTCAAATTGATTCAAATTGATCCAATCAAATATTTGAGTTCAATTCAATTCGATTTGATTTAATTTGAAAAAATCAAATCAAATTCAAATTGCTTAAATATTTGATAATTCGATTTTAAGAAACCCTTATTATAAAGAAATA